GCCCCGTAGCCCCCCCTATCATCGATGTGGTCGCGGTAAGGTCAGTCAAGGGGCGCGACGGGGTGTCAGAGTATATGCGGTCAAGCCTGGGCGTCTGTGATACGTAACGATCCCGATTTTCTCGACGAGCGTAGGATTCTGCATCAAAGACCACAACCCAGGATACGCACTGGCAATGAAAAAGGCCAGTGCGAGCCCGATCTCGAGGATCCACTCCTATCCGTCGAGAGTCGCCCTTCATCTTCACATGCGAAATGCCAATCTCCCATGATAATTTTGAAGCGTTCCGACGCAGCAGGGAGAGCACTCGAGATGCAGTAGAGACAATGAGAGTACGGGGCAAGAGTAGCACAAACATTAGGCAAATGTGCATGATCGTAAGCGAACCGCGCTTGCCCTTGCAATGTGAGAGGAGAAGTCTGCCCTCGAACAGTGGCGCGCGCTCAATTGAATCAAACGGCGCAGCAAAGGACGACGACATAAGTGAAAGTACACCATAGGAGCAATTTTCGTCATTGAAGAACGAGCGGGCGATGCAAGAATTACGAAGGCCATGCAGAAAATGAGACACGCCTGCTACCGGGACATGTGTTTGTCGTGCTTGTTGTGCACACAACAACTGAATCGCGACAGCAAAAGGCGGATGAACTCCCACCATCGGTTCGAGACGGTAGCGTATTTCGTAGCCTCCACCGCGCCAAGCAGACCATGCACATTTCCAAGTGACAACGCACAGAAAAAGGAAGAGAGAATGACATGCTGTCGGGCCCCACTTCCGTAGCAACATTCCAAAGATTGCGCCGCCCCTACACATGAGGGCGCTCACCTGGCCTGCGCGCGCAGGCTCTCGGATGTCTCTGGACCAATTACTCGGGGCACGGTGGGCGGGTCGTTGGCCTCGGCGACGGCCGTCGCAATCGCCTGTAGGATCGCCTCGACTTTCAGCTGTCAGACGCGGCAGCCCACAAGGTTGGGATCGAAGGACCAAATCCGATAACGCATCCCCTTTGATGTAGATATCCGAGACCTCGCCTTCGCCGGCGTCGCCGTGGACATATCATGAACCGCACGTACTAGCATATTGAATTTCTCAGTTTGGCATAGATGTGGCTACAGGCGCGCTGGCGAACTCTATCATCTAGAGGCATGTCCACGTGACTTTTGATATGGTGACTTGCCTGCATGCGAAGGTCAGTCCAGTTCACGCTGCCAGGAGACGCTGCAACAAGGTCCTGGAACCTCTTGGCCCCCAGCTCGCTGGAGAACTCAAGGCTGTACGACTTGTAAGTGCGAGGGACGTTGGGCGTGATCTCGCAAGCAAGATAATGCGGCAGAAAAGGGACTACAACTTTCTCGTAGCGAAGCCGACGTTCACGAGCAAATTCGCCGGCCCAACGGGCCAGGGCGTGCTAAGATCTCCGGTAACTGGTTAACAGTATTCACAGTATTTCTAGTTCGCGCGCGCGGGGCGGCCCCTGGGGGTCCCCCGGCGAAAAGTACCCCGACCAACGCCCGGTCGCCGCCCGACCGCCGCCCGACCAAGTCTACTCAGAGATGGTTTTCCTTCTGGGTGCGGCCTCTCAGGCTCCCCAGAGCGCGCTCAGAGTGCCCCAAGAGGCCCCCAAGACTGCCCAAGAGGCCCCCGAGACGCCCAAAGAGCGCTCGAAGACGCCGAAGATGACCCCAAGACGGCCCAAAAGGCCCCCAAGACAGCCCAAGAGGCCTCCAAGACGCCCCAAGAGCCTTCCAAGAGGCCTCCGAAGAGAGCCCCAAGAGGCCAAAATCGTTGATTTTCATTTGTTTTTTCAATGTTTTTTGTGTTCTGGCTTTTTCGGCTTCCGGACGCTCCAAGACGGCCCAAGAGGCCCCCAAGACCGCTCCAAGACGGCCCACGAAGCTCCCAAGACGGCGCCGAAACGACCCAAGAGAGCCCTCAAGACGGCCCAAGTGCCGCCCAAGACGGACCAAGAGGCCCCAAGACGGGCCCAAGAGGGACTCAGGAGGGATACCGAGAACTCAAAAATGGAGCCCTCCGTCCCAGAAGGCGCCCAGGAGGTCCCAAAGAGGCCCCAAGAGGCCTCCAAGAGGCCCCAAGATGTCGCCAAGAGGCCCCAGGAGACTCCCAGGAGGCCCAAAAGAAGCCCCAGAAGGCTTCAAACATGTCTCCCAGGCGCCCCCGAACGGCCTCTCAACAGACCCCAAGAGGCCCCCCAAAGAAGCATCTTGACGACGACTCTATTTCGCCCCATCGAGAGACGACCCCCAGGGAACTGCTTCACCATCAAAACTCCCCACGCAACGCGTCCGAACGACACCCGCCCCCAAGAGCGCAACATGGGCAACGAACACACAGACAAAAACCAGCGATGCCATATCACGGGCCGGCGGAATGAGCGAAGCGATTCAATAATTGGCAAGGGACTGTTCCAAACCATCGGCGGTTCTTATTGAGCGAGCCGTTGTTCGAGTGGTCGCGCCGCCTGGACGTGGAACCGGCGGCATCCGAAAAAATTCAAGACGATCCACCACGTGACAATGCAGTGAACAAAATCACAGACGAAGAATGCGATGGCTTCAGCTTCTCAGACTGGCTACTATGTCGTCAGCCTGGCTGGCGAACCTGAATTCATCAGGGAATACAAGACCATGACCAGCGAGGACCCGCTCGAAGAAGGTGATTATCGCATCGATGGCCTGAGTGGTCTCGTTGATCTTGGTCTCCATGTAGTTCATGCTCACGGCGACATCCGAACGGAGCTGCTGCATATGCCCGGGCCGTGTCTTGATGAGCGCCGCCGTTGTTGAGTTGATGTCCTTGGCCTGCGTCTCCAGCAAGCCCTGCCTGCGAGAAAGGAGGCTGGTTCTCGGACGCAAGAGCTCCAGTCACCTCCGACATTGACACCCGAACCCGCGGGAAGTGTGCAGGTCTGGTGTCGGGTCAACACCTGAGCTGCGCTAGCAAAGCCCCATCCAGAGCCAGCACGCAATGGTGATACGAAGGCTAATCAGGTTACCTCGCTACCCCGTAGCCTCACCCAAATTAAGCCTTGAACCAAACTGATCATGAGGATGCGGATAATGAGGACACTGAAGTGACGATGCTGATGCTGTTGATGCTAATGATAATGAATCTAATGATGCTGATAATGCTGCTGTGGTGATGATGATCATGAGGAGGAGGCGGAGGAGGAGGAGGGAGAAGAGAAGGAGGAGAAAAAGGAACACGGAGAGAGGAGAAAGGAGAAAGGAGGAGCAGGAGGAGCAGGAGCAGGAGAAGAGGAGGAGGAGGAGGAGGAGGAGGCGAGAGGAGGAGGAGGAGGAGGAGGAGGAGGAGGAGGAGAAGGAGGAGGAGGAGGAGAAAGGAGAGATGGGGAGGAGAGGGCGACGGTCCCCGCCCCGCCGGGCGGTGACGACGCCAGGCGGCGGCGGCGGCGGCAGCACTCGAGCGCCTCGCACGAGCTGGGCCAGGAACGCCGCCAGCGCCGCCCCCGTGCCGGCGAAGCCCCCGGAGTTCGGGTAGCGCAGGGGGGAGCTGGCCGACGGGTCGAGGCGCTCGATCTGCGGCGCGATCCTGAGGCTTCCCATGGCGCAGGTGCGGCCCCGCTTCCTGTCAGGCCTGTCCCCTCCACGCCCTCCCATGCCTCCTCCTCCTCCTCCTCCTCCTCTCGCTCCCCTCATCCCTCCTCCCCTCTCACCTCACGCTCCCTTCTTTAGCGTCTCCTCTTGTTCTCCTTCTGGCCAGGTGCTGATCAAACCCCCAGGAGGGAGAAGACAGTGCGACAATCCGTCGCGAATGGGGCTGCAGGCGAACAATTACACCATCGCGTGATCAGATAACGAGAGGCGCACTGCGCAGTGCTGTCCATACGAGAGACCACACGGTCGACCATGCCATGGGGAAATCTACGCGAGAGAATGCGGGAGAGCTGACGGGGGAGCCCATGGGGGAGGGCATGCAGGAGACGGGAGAGCAGACGGGAGAGCACACGGGAGCCCACGCAAGAGACCACACGGGAGATCAGCCGGGAAACCACGCGGGAGACCAGGCGCCCGCCCCCTCCCCCATATGGTCCTGTGCTCCGGGGCGCAAATGCGGTCCGCCGCGCAGACCACCCTGCCGCCAGGGCCCATGGCGCCAAGCGCGGCGAGCTTCGCGGCGAGCTCCTGGCGGGACCTCTCTCCCCTCCTGCGGGACCCCTGCTCATGCAAAGTGTTCCGGGCGGGGCAGGGGGGGGCGGCAGGGGCGAGGAGAGGGGGGAGACGGAGAGGAATTCAAGGAGTCAACGTCGTCCTCGCGCGCGCCCGCGAAACGGTTTGCAGTACGGGGTCCCCGGAAATGCCGGCCCCAGGCCTGGCGAGGGCTCCCAGAGGCCGACAAGTACCAAAAACCTCCGATCGTGCCTCTTTCACGACGAGAACAAGTTTGGTTTTCGGGTCATAGCTCGGCTCACCCGCGGCCGTTCGGGAAAATCCTGGCACCCTTAGAACGCCCTCGGCAAAGCACGGCTGCTGGAACGCACCCCGAGGCTGGAACACCGCCCAGAAGCGACCAGCGTGTCGGAAAAACCAGAACCTCGAACCCGAACCCTGGACGGCGGCGGCGACCACGGCAACGGCGAGCTCCTCGGCGGGGCCCAGCACGACCGTGTCCCACGCGTCCAGCAACAGCACCGGGTCCTCCGGGGCGATGGCGCCGCCGACCAGCGCGGACAGCGCGCGGTCGTAGAGCGCCAGCTTCGTGCCCACGCCGGCCCAGGGCCCGCCGACCCCCAGCGCGCGGAAGGTGTAGCCCGCGCGCCGGGCGCTGCGCTGGGGGGGGGGCAGGCGCTCCTGCTCGTCGTCCTGCTGCGCAGTCCTCCTCGCGCGTCTGCGCCCTTCTCCGCCTCCTCGGTCTCCCCCCTTCCCCCTTGTGCTCCTCCTGCTGCCGATGGCATGCCCCATCGGCGTTCTCGCGCTGCTCTTCTCCTTCTCGCCACATGTCCTCTGTCTGGCCCTCTTCGGCCAGGCTCCCACCCCTGAGAGCAGGCGGAAAGGCAACAAGGTCTCCTCGAGGATGACGGTCTCCTGCAAGCTGGGAGCGTACATAAGAATGAAGAAGGAGGGAGGACACGGAATGAGGAGCGAAGAATGAGGCAGGGAGGGGGAGGAGAGGATGGACAAAAAGAGGGAGGCGGAGGGAAGGAGGGAGGGAACGCGAGGATGATGGCGAGCTGCACGCTGGGAGGGTGGGAGGGCATGCCAAGCTAACATCAAAATCCGCCACCGAGGAGGACAGAGAGGCGAACGTGGCGGGCGCCACCACGCTACCCTCCCGCTGGCCTCCTCAGTTCCTCTTGGCCTCTCTTCCATTATCCTCCCCTCTTGCCCCCCACCCCCCCTGGCCTCCTCCTGACCTCCCTTCCCCCACTCCCCACCTCCCTGTGTGTTGTTGACAAGGATGCCGTTCACGACGCGAGGGGGTCTGGGCTTATTCTTGGTCCCCCCACCCCTTGCCCACGGAGGAGGAGGAGGAGGAAACAGGAGGAGGAGGAGGAGGAGGAGGAGGAGGAGGAGGAGGAGGAGGAGGAGGAGCCGTCCCCATGCCCCCCCGCTGGCCTCCACCCTCGACGGCGACGACGGCCGATGTCATCCTCCGCCTCCGGCGGCCTCGGAGAAGTCCCCCGACGTGCCCCAGCCTCTGGAGGCCCCCGCAGAGGCTTCCAGGCAGGGGCCGACAGAGGAGACCTACAACAGCCCAGAAACCCTCGATCATCCTCCTCCTTCCTCCTCCTCCTTCTCCTCCCTCCTCCTCCTGGTCCCTCCCTACCTCCCTCCCTCCCCCCCCCTCTCCCACTCCTCCCCTCCTCTTGCTCGCACCCTCCCTCCCTCCTCTTCCTCCTCCGCCTCCTCCTCCTCCTCCTTTTCCCTCCTCCTCCTCGTCGAATCTACGACGGGGCCAAGACCTGGACAAAAAAGGAAACCAGGGTAAGTCGGGGATACCTGGGATCCGGGTTGTCTGGAGGACATGCAGCGGGCGCCGCCCGCGGCCTTGGTCAGAACGCTCCAGAGAGCCAAATCCGCCTGAGCGTTCTGGATCGCTCTGGAAAGACTGAGTCTGATCCTGGCCCCGACCGAAAACCTCTCCTCCGCCCCCTTTCACGAGAGCCTCCCTCTTGGCGGCGCGCCCAGGGGGGGAAGTGAGAGGGGGCGGGCCTTCTCAGAAGGCTCTGAAGGCCTGCAGCCTTCTGAGAGACTGTCGAAGCCTTCTGAGAGGGCTCCTGAGAAACCCCGCCGCCTTCTGAGAGGCCTGCCCCCGTCGCGCAAGCCTGGTGGTAGCTCGGCTCTCTGGCGGCCGTTGGGGTCGACCCAGGCACTCCCAGAACGCTTTCGGCAGGGCGCAGCTGCTGGAAAGCCCCCCGAGGCTGGAACGCCTGCAGGCACCGACGAGAACGTCAGAAAGGGTCTCACCTCCCCCTCGGGGCGCGCCGCAGACCCGCGGAAGCCCCTGCCGTGGCGGCGTCCTGCTTGTAGAGGTTGCAGGCCGCCAGCACGTGCGCCCGGCAGCCCCCGCCGGCGGGGAGAACGCCGTGCGGGCCGTGCGGGGAGGCGGCAGCGCGAGCGCCTCCGCGGAGCCTCGCGCGGCCAAGGGCAGCTCGTCGCCGTCGTCGCCGTCGCCGCCACCGCCGGCGTCGTCGTAGTCGAAAGGCGGCGGCGTCGACGTCGGTGGCGGCGGCGTCGGCGTTGGCGTCGGTGCCATCGTCGGCGTCATCGTCGTCGGCGTCTCCTGAGATCCGGGCGTCGCAAATTTGCTGCACTGGGCGTTTCCGCCTGGTTTCGGAACCCGGGGCCATCACAGACCGAGCTGTCTCAAACAACACGGAAAAGAAAAGGGTCTAGGGTTCTGGCCGTGACGTTTCGCGACGCTGAGTGCTTGTTTTCAAGGTCGGATCTCAGGGTCGTCGTCGACGTCACCGTCGTCGCCGCCGTCGCCGTCGCCGTCGTAACTACGGCGTCGTCATCGTCGTCGCTTTCCGTGCTTTCCTCGTGGTAGTCGTCGTCGTCATCGTCGTCGTCGTCGTCGTCGTCGTCCTCCGTCTCTCCGCCAACAAGAGGACGACGATCTGTCCTTGCGGAAGAATGAGGAGGTGGGAGATGAGGAGGAAGTGGTGGGCCTGGTTCTGCTTCTCGTCATCGTCGTCGCTCTTGCTGGAACAATCCCTCCTCCCTCCCGCCCTCCCCCGCCCCATCCTTACTCAAAGGCGTCCACGGCGACAACGCCACAGAAAACGGACCGAACCGACACCAAACCCGAAAACTGCCGATGTCTGAAGGCCCGGATCAACAGCGTCGCAACAACGCCACAACAGCCGACCGAACCGAACCGATGGAGCGCAACAATCTCCGACGAAACCGAACCGACTACACAAAAGACATGATTTTCGGGAACGTTCCGGCAATTAGCGTTTCAAGGGCCGAGGCATGTGCGCGGACAAACGGGCCCACATAACATACTGAAAGAAAAAAGAGGGGGCCATGAAACGGGAAAAGATTTCATGGCCCCAGCCACGATATCCCGTTCCCTCTGGGCTCAAGTCATCCCCCCCAAATCGCCACGAATTCCCCCCACTCCCCCACCCTCATGCCTTCCCCCCTCCCTCCCAAACCCACATTGCTACCGAAATTCGAGCCCCTGATGCGTGCGACGCTGCCGGAAAGATGCACATCCGACCCGCACCGCAAGGGGATGCAACTGACGCGGGGTGGGCACGATCTCCATGAACCATCTTCCTCCTCCCCGCCCACCCCTCCCGCTCCGCCGCGGGCGGCGACGACGAGGACGATGACGGCGAACCGCGCCAACTTCCACGCTAGAGCCCACAGAACGTCCGCGATCCCAGTGTGCTCTCGCCAAGACCTGACCACGGGTGCCCTCCCGTGCCCTCCTCCCTGAGAGTGGCAAACATAGTGGGGCCCGCCCAAGGGGGGAAACATCAAGGAGGAATCGGCGATACGTGGGCAATGGATCGGCGATAAGCACCCGATAGCGAATCCGAACGTTAGCAGGCGTGTACCGCTGTCGGCGATGAGTGGGCGATTGGGGGTCGATGCGTCTCGCCCTGAGACTATCCCCCCCTTAACGCTGCCCCCCGTCCCGCTCCAATCCCACACCCTTTCACAGGTACCCCATATGAATACTACTCTCCCCTATCCCTGAAATTGTCTGGGAAGTGGCCCCACCCCCTGCGCAGACTGCTTCAAAGCAAACAACGGACTTCAAACAATCTGAAATCCTAATCACGTTCTTGCTCCCATCGATTTGTAGCCGGTTTTTTCAAACAGTGCTCTCGCTGACGCGCGGGCCTCGTTTTCGGATCGGCGTTTTGCTCCCGTCGTTCAGCATGGCGCTGTCGCCCCGGCATGGGCCACTTTTCTGGACGCAGGTCTCGCAGGACCCGCATGTCCCACAGGTCCCGCAGGTCCCACAAGTGTCGCAAGTGTCGCACATCTCACCACCCCAGCAGAGGACACCCAGGTACCCAGGGTCCCACAGGTTCCGCGGGCACCCCAGGTCCCGCAGATCTCGTAAGTTTCGCAGGCCCCACAGGTCCCCCAAACCCTACAGGTCCCGCAGCTCCCACCTGTGTCGCAGGTCTCACAGGCCCCACAGGCCACACAGGTCCCGCAGGTCTCACAGGGTTCACGTGCCCCCCCGCAGGTCTCACAAGTCCGACAAGTCCACAATTCCCATCTGCTCCACAGGTCCCACAGGCCAGCAACGTCCCGCAGGTTCCACACAAGTCCCACAGATCGCACAAGACCACAGTCCCTATGGCGTCCAGAGGCCCCACATGTCAGGCTATGACACGCATTCGCGCACCGCGCACTGCAGAAAACACCATCGGTGCAGCGAGGAGGGATGTCAGGGATAGATCGGGTGTCAGATGTGGCGCGGGCGCATACTGCTCGAGAGTCCCCCCTTTCCCTCCTCCAATCCCCTTCCCTCCAGCGACGCGGCCGGTCTTTCCGACGACCGCGCGCACGCCGCATCCTGAGCTTGACGTGGGCCGCGACGGACCGGTTGGGCCCCTGTATAGAAGGCACCAACTATACACCAACACCGATCCTGGCCCAGGATCACCCAGGGCCCGGGATCGGTGTGAACGCCCTCCTGCCTTGCGCAAGAAGGCATATACACCGATCCTGGGCCCAGGGTGATCCTGGGCCAGAATCGGTGTTGGTGTATAGTCGGTGCCCTCCGACTGTAGCACCAGGCAGCGGGGCACAGCAGCCAGGTGGCCCCTCGCCTCCGCCCGCCCCCTCGCCTTCCCTCCCCCCCCTCCCCCCTCGCCCCCGCCCGCTCTCACCGCTCCCCGCGGCTCCCCCTCTCCACCTGCTGCGGGGCTGCCCTCCGCGGGGCATCCCGACAGTAGAAAAACGTGGTAGGGGCTGGGCTCAATCCGCGAGGAGGCGGAGACAGAGGAGGAGGAGGAGGAGGAGGAGGAGAATTAGGAGGGGAAGGAGGAGCAGGAGGGGGCGATGAGGAGGAGGAGGAGGAGGAGGAGGGAGGAGGAGGATCAAAGGGCAAGAAGGACCAGAACGGGGCCGTCCTGCGGGGGGGGCGTGGGGAAACGGCGACGCAACAACGGCCGACGCCGAAAGCGGCGCCGACGGTAACTCACATCGACGATGACGACGAGGACGACGACAAACAACGGCAACGACGACGACGACGCCGTCAGAAACGACCGCGCCTGGCGCTCTTCGCCCCCGCCACCGCGCCGGGCCAACTGCCGCAGGCGGCCGCCAGAGCAGACCGGCGCCACTGGCGCGATGCGCGGAGGCTGCCTCTGGCGCCGAGGGCGGAAGGAAAGCGAAAGCACACGAGGACCACGACCAAGATAGAGCAAATAAAACTACCCACATACACCGAACCTGGCCAGGTCTATCCTGAGCCCAGGTGCGGTGCCTGGGCCAGGAAGGCAAAGACACCGATCCTGGGACCAGGATGGGCCTGGCCAAG